GTTGGACTTACCAGTAGCACCTCCAACCACTCATATAGACAGAACCAACAAAGGGGGAAAAAAGAAGTAAGAAAGTAAGATCTACCCACGGCGACCTCCTTCCACTCTCACAAGAAACAAAATCATCGAAAGGGAAAAAAGTAGGGCCAACAGTGACTTTTTAAGTTTTAGTAACAGCTTTACGGAACTGCAAACAGTTAGATCACAAAAAAGGGCCGAAAATTAGAGGTATGGATAGTATGTGTTTGATAAGAAATATATAGAACAAAACCCCGCATGGGTACCCGCCAACCACCCACTTACCACTAATACGGGGTGCCCATTTGGAGAATCGGGTCGGGTCGGTTTGCTAGCCAGATTGAGGACGCAAAGGGGCTATCATGGAACAAACCGATCGCGCCTGACTCGTCGCCTCAAAAATAAAAGCGTTTGTTTTCAGGCGACGAGTTGGGCGATCGACCCAACACGACCCGACCTGATCCCACCCGCAATGGGCACCCGGTAAAAAGCCCTCCAACCACTCAAATAGACAGAATCAGTGTCGATGGTGCCGTAAAATATTTATAACCAAATCAAAGATAAACCTGCACGTGCATGTAATCAGCTCAGAGCAATCTTCGCCGTCCCCATGAGTAACACCAAGACCGTTGTCCCGTGCCAGAAAGACGGTAGAGTTGACCAGGTCATGAATAAGTCACGACTCACCTCGTGGTCAGTAAGAAGGGGGTGCCCTTTGGCCAATGAGGTCCGACCCACATGATCAAATCGGATAGGAAATGGGTCGGAAAATGGGGCTTATCCCTTGTGCACACTGGCAATTTTTATTAATTTGATTCAGTCGTGACCAGCCAGATTTTCCTTTATGGATGGGGTAAAAGCTATTATTCTGGCACAATACGATCAAATGAATTCGATTGGCTGTGTGCACACGATATATAAGAAAAGATGTCATTTGATCTAAGAGATCCGACCCGCATGATCGAATCGGAAAGGAAAGGGGTCGAGAAATGGGGCTTATGCCCTGTGCACACGGACAATCTGATTCAATTGAGCGACTCGAGGCCAGCCAGATTTTCCTTCATGGACGGCGCGAAATACGACCCATTTCAACTAGATCTTTTTTATATTTATTTA